TTCCCCAAATCAGGCATTAGTGCGCTGACCATCGAGTAGAATCCCGAGTAGGAATCCTCTGAGGTCTTGTCTTGTCTTGTGTGATTATTGATGAAAGTCAATAAAAGATAAATACTGCTGGAACTCTCTGTTTTACTTCTGCCACTATAAAGGAGACACCGAATCTTAAATATAAAGAAGTGTAAATATACACAACAGACATCACAATGCATCGGGCTGATCAAAGGATTAGAATTCTTGGGAAAACAGGTATCTGTATAAATGTGGGGAATTCGTAGTACGCAGGATTTTTTTGTGTATCTCGCCTTCATGCGTTTATTGGAAAAGCTGAGAAGGGAATTCATCGGTCTCTTTCACTCCATATACTGCACTTCGCACGTGCATCGAACGCATACATTTAATTGGAAATAAGCTTTCCCATTCTCCTACAATTCGGAAATTCCGCATGTGCCGTTATGTCAAGCGAAAAATTTGTTTGATAGAGGGCAGCAGCGGTAAAGAAACATGAACGCTCTCGGGAATACAATACCATGTTGAGGTTTCATTCCGGTGGATGTTTCAGGTTCTCCACGCATTTGTGAGATGCAATTGCTGATATATTCCGCGAATCATGAAGCAAACTTATCGAGACATCGACAAAGATGGGAAAGGGTGCGTAGAATTCTCGATTATGCAAAATCACGGAAGGGTGCATATAACCGTCTTTCTATAAATTCTATAGGCAAGTCAGTTTATTGCCGGAAGAATCCGAAGATTTGTGGCATGCATACAACCTGATAGCCATTGGTGACTGCGTGACCGCCTCTACTATAAGGTTCGATTTTCTGCCGCGTTCATGGCATCCAAATGTATCTAGCAATAATTTTTTTTAACAGGAAAGTCCAACAAGAATCAGCAACAGGCAGCTCAACCAGCAGCCGGGTTCGCACAACACTGACCATACAAGTAGAGGCGATAGACTTTGATACTCAAGCATGTGCCTTACGTTTGAAGGGCCGCAACACCGTCGAAAACCAGTACGTGAAGGTGAGAGCAAATGACAAAGTACAATACTTGTAGATCGTTGCAATTTTCTGAAACTTCCTTTCAATGATGCTTTTGCCCCAGCAAAGATGGGGGCGTATCACACGTTAGACTTGGAGCAGAACCGGAAGTTTACTTTGATCAAGGTGCATTGGGATTTGGTTGCAATTGAGCGAGTGGATTACGCCTGTGACCCCACGCAACACGCGGATTTAGCGGCTGTTGTCATGCAAGACGGTTTAGCATTTATTTGTCTAGTAACTTCTGCTATGACCCTTGTCCGCAATAAGGTAAGCTGGTGCGATTGAGACCAAGTCAGTGGCAAGATTTTGAGGTCTCGTCCATTTGAAGGTAGAAGTCCAGATTCCATGGAAGCGGAAAGGCAACGCACAGCAGCATGAGAAGGGTCTACACAGATTTTATGATACGGTGATTCAGGGCATTCTGCGCCACGTCAACTTTGAAGTAGTCAAGTGTGTCCTCATAGCAAGTCCTGGTTTTGTTAAGGATCAGTTCTACGAGTACATGATGCAGCAGGCCACCCAGCAAATACTCAGGCATTACAATTGGAGTCCATGATGTATCATGGGTGATGTGATGGGTGAATCACCCATGATCCATCATGGGTGGACAGTTCCATAATGCCCTGCAGGAGAAAGGGGTAAAATCCCAGTTATTTTGGCATCATGGGGACAGTTCCTTGGGTGAAATACCCATTAAAATAACCCCCTCAACCAGCCCATTACATACCCATTATTTTAATGCCAATTCCTCCCATTACTTTTATGCCCTATTAACCCATGAAAATAACTGTCCTGTAACCCATTATTGATGGTTTGAGGGACCATCACCTGTGATGTTACAGATGACAGTTTTTCATGGGTTTTTTACTCATGAAAAACTTAAAAATTATTTGCTGGGCATGAAGTCTGACAATAAAGTTCTCCTTGACAACCGCGGGAAGTTTCTCTTGGTTCATTCTTCATCTGGCTTTAAACATGCCTTGAAAGGTGAGAACCGATATATCTCGAGGGAATATTGCCCGAAATCTGCAGTATTTCAAACGAGCGCGATGTAGCAATTTTTTTCTCAAACTGTAACAGCGTAAACCGGTAATTTTCAGTGTCATCATATTTTAATGGGAGTACACTTTTCTATTGTACACAAAGAAAAAATCGGAGAAACGTCTGTACAGTACTTTATTGGCGTGCATGTGATGTACAAATTATTCCCTGAAATTCATTCCTGACGTGGGAGGGTTTTGTTTACAGAAGTGCTGATGGACCCAGCAGTGGTTACGATGAAGTTGGCAGACACAAAAGCTGCAGGAGAGGTCAAGTCCCTGGAGGCATTTTACGTGATGTTGAAAACGGAGCCGTCGAGGGCATTCTACGGTTTGAAGCATGTGCAGAAGGCAAATGAGGCGCAAGCAATTGAGATACTCATGGTTTCAGACTCTTTGTTTCGGGCGCAAGAGGTAGGGAAAAGGAAAATCTACGTTGACTTGGTTGACAGTGTGCGTGACAATGGGGGAGACGTTAAGATCTTTTCCAGTTTACACGTTTCCGGGGAACGTGAGTATACAGTGAACAATTGAAGCTTGTTCATTGTATTGGTTTGCCATCATTTGACTCATGCCCCCTATTTTCTTTTCCTTATGTCAGAGTTGGATCAGTTGACGGGGGTTGCAGCAATTTTACGTTTTCCAATGCCCGATTTGGAGGAGGAATAAGAAATCAGTGATGAGGATTGATGTTTTCTCTTTTTCGATTCCAAAAATATGTTCGGCATGAAGGAGAGAAATATCTATGAAGCTTTGAATTTGATGAGCTGGGGAAACTTTTTGAATCTTGTGAGGTGGGGTTCAGTCAAACAAACCAATTTGAAACATGAAATGAAAATTTTTTTTCTCTGTTGCTGTCATTCTCTTTTCTGAAGAATTCAAGGTGAGATGCTCGTATTTCATGGCAGTGTGTTCAGGAATCTGACCTTGTGTCCATTTTTATGAGTTTTGTCAGAAAAGGCTGCATGAAGAATGCATCTTCAGTGAGTGAAAGGTTTCCAAGTTCAACGAAATGTAGTTAATTGAAGTCTGCCTTCTGGTATTCCCACCGATAATCCCTTTCTGTTGGGCCTCCGCACCTGATGCAGGTGCCCCCTCCACCTCCAGTATTCTGGCCCTTCATTCTTCGCTTTTTGGGGATATCTAAAATCAATTCCTGATTAATTTTTTTTTTTGCCAAAAATTTTTTGCAAAAAAGAAGCCTAAATTAACTCAACCTGAATAAACCTTCACTAAAAAGTAACCTCTTGATCCTTCCCTGATATGCCTAGCCGAAATGTCTGGAACAACCATAATGGTCAACAGGAAATTTTTGCCTTTTCTGCAAAACACGCATGGTGATACAATGCCGTAGGCTTATACAGTTTCCCCAAGTCATTCTGGAAGTTAGTTGAAATTCTATTTCCAAATCATAGTTCCTTGATGGATTATATAACATGAATGCATTATTCTTACTTTAATACAATACAGTACTGTAAAACGATTTTTCAAGTACTGTTATTTTTAAAAGCCATTTTAAGCCTCACCGTATTCCAATGCATTATTTGAATCACAGTCCTGGAAACTCATGGCTGAATATAATACTGTATAATTTAGTGTTGTGTAGAAAAAGAGCATGGCACACAAAAAACAAAAGCTGAAATTACTGCTGTGTTCATGGCATATTCCTATGGTGATTATGCGCTAGTGAGAAGCAAATGTACATGCCACAGTACGTACTCGTACATATTGGGTTAATAAACGCCTCCAATTCAGACAGCCTGATGTCGAATCGTACATTTCTGTAAATTCACAGTACAGTACTGTACTAAACGAGTATACGATACAGTATTAGTTTTCTCATACTGTCTCAGGTGTAACTCCCCCCTAATGTGTTGTTCGGAAATGGTTCAACAACGCCTGTTGGAACTGGTGACCAGACATTATGGTACACTTTCAAACTCGACGCAGTGAGGCATCAACCTCACACGCGACACCTAGCGGTGAACCATCGGGCCGTGCCCTTCTCCCACCCTTGTATTCCACGCGCGCCTTATTGCGATCGTGATCTTGGGGGAAGCATGGAACGAGGGATTCCGCGAGACGAGGTGGCGGCACTTCGCTCTTGACTCTTGACAGTGATGCATTGGTTTTATATCTGACCTATTTATTGTGGTGCTGTTCCTGTATAATACAAGACGTGTTTGTGAAGAAAATACGTGTGTCAAAGTCTCTGCCACCCGAAAACTCTTACTGGGGGCTCGAGCCACTTTCTACTTCCTACTATTCGACACCGTAGACACGCCAGCATCCACTATGCCCCGAAATACCGAGAACTCCAAAGCCGCAGCGGCAGCCGCCGAAGCAGCCAAGGTTCTCGCCAAACTTGCCGGAATCGTGGAAGACGACAACAACTTTCAAGACACCGAGCCCCAACCTCGGGACAAAAGACGCGCTCCGCAGGCCTCGCCAACGATCTCCCGCTCTTCGGCAGGAACATTGACCAGCGTGTGGGAGAACCTGCCACTCACAATGCTACAACTACTTGCGGACGTCTATCATCTCGGACATCCAGAGAGCGCCGCCAAGATAGACTACGCCGCACAGCTTGACCGTTTCCACATCCCAATCACCGCTCTGCAGGACCTGTCATGCCTTCACGATGCCCCTCGACATCAACGCGTGCAGCCTGCTTGGCCGGACGACGGCGCATCGCAGAGAGCTGTGTTTCAACCACCCCAATGGCTACTCAACATGCAGACCCCAAATTTACCAAAGCAGAGGACAGACGAAACGTTCGAGGACTTTGCAACTCGACTTCAAAATGTCCTTGCAGTAGGCCGCATCTCCGACGAACAACGGGTATGCTGCATTTTGAGCAACACCCTCCCAAACATTCAGACGACAGCAAACCAGATTTATCACCAACTTTGACCAACTCGTCGATGCCGTGGCTCGCCGGTTCCCAACTCCACATCTGGATCGACTGAAACGCTTCCGCCAGCTCAAACCCGATTCAGGCAAGAGTTTCTTCAATTTTGGAGAGCGATTACGAGAAGAGTTTGAACTATGCGTCCAACTACCCTTGCCGGAGCTCGATGCCGCGGACAACGTTATACAATTCATCCTGAAGGAGCAGCTCCTCAACTCCGCGGAAACAGGATTGCGGGACGAACTCCACAAGAAGTGGTCCAAGAATCGCCACATCACCTGGGACGACTTTGTGGACGTAGCGGAATCATATCTGCTCAATCATCCCGCCACCGGCTCCGGAAACCAAACAGCAAGAACCGGTCCCAGACAAAAAGTCGACCTGCCTCCAAAACAATGGTGTGACTTCCACAAGAAGTCCGTTCGCCACAGCACACAAGAGTGTCGCCTTCATCTACGCCAAATGGGTTCGGCACAATCGACCAGCGAATCTACATCGTCTCGACAGGTTAGCAACTCTTCATCCACATCCGCAGCGAAATCCAGTTTTTCCGATGCCGCGGGGCCAACCTGTTTTCATTGTAATCGCATTGGTCATTACGCGAAAGAGTGTCCGCAAGTTCAGGGAAACGCGAAATCGTCACAGTGAACGCGGCTCACTGTTTTGCGACGAATGTGCAAGCCGCACCCCCTCCCATTTTAATTTCAATTTGTATTTTGGGACGCTCGCTATCTGCCTTACTCAATACGGGCGCATCGCATTCTTTTATTTCGGACAAAATTGTGCATCAACTAGCGTTACCGACCTCGCCGTTACACATGACCGTGAGCACGGCGCTCAGTCCCGAAGCTTCTTGCGTCAGTCGCGTTGTCGAGACCGTTTTTTGTTTTCAAAACACCAACCACGCCGGCGCATTTCTCGTTCTGCCCGGCATGCGGGACTTTCCTGTTATCATGGGACAAACCATGCTTTTACAGTTACCTCTGACAATCACGTTAGATGGCAAACGCGTTTTTACTGGTTTTCACGAAGTGATGAGGGCTCCTGCTGCCCCAACGCTCTCGGTGGGCAAGGGAATTTCTTTTGTTGACGGAAACAGTCACAAACGCGAACGCGTCACCCAAATTCTGAAACGCCATGCACCTCTGATCCTACAATGGTCAGGGCGAAGGGGTCTGTTTGCTGAGCATGTGGTCCCCATCCCCACAATCGAGGCACCCCCGCCGGCAGCTCGCCAATTTCGACATTCCCTGGAACGCAATGCACCGTTTGCGGAAATCATCGATGCCTACCTCAAAGCGGGCATCCTGGAGTGCGCTGCTTCACCTTACAACGCACCTGCCTTTTTAGTCAACAAAAAGTGCTCCAACCCAAACGCCCTGGCCAAGAAGCGCTTCCGTCTCGTTGAGGATTACTGCGTACTCAACAAGCTCATCATGCCCGACAATTACCCAATGCCGACTGTCCAGGAGCTCCTGGAAGCGTTGGGCCGGAATAACCTCTTTTTTTGTACTTTAAATCTACACTCAGGGTACCATCACCTGCCAATCGCGCAGGAGGACAGGCCAAAAACAGCGTTCATGTCACCAAGGGGGCAAATGCAATACAAAGTGCTCCCCTTTGGTTTGAAAACGGGCCCTGCTCTTTTCCAAAGGACAATCAATACCATTCTCAGACCTCTGCTTTTCAGACGCTGCTTAGCCTACGTCGACGACGTGATCATCTTTGGGGAAACGTTCGACATTCTCTGCAAAAACCTCGACATCGTCCTTCAAACCCTTCAAGAGGCAGGCGCCTGCGTCGACATCGTGAAGTCATCATTTCTCGCCCACAAGACCCTGTTCCTGGGCCACAAAGTCGACCAAACGGGCAGCCGCCCAGCCGAAAGAAACGTGGACGCTGTGTTGAGGTATCCAAAACCAGAGACCCGCCGACAGATGCAGCAATTTCTCGGGATGGCCACATACCTGCGGTCACACCTGCCAACGAATTTCGCAGAATCAGAGAAGGCCCTCCGTTTGACCATCCCGCCCAAACCAGCCACCAGAATCCTTTGGTCACCCGCAGCTGAGCTCGCGTTCAAACACATCAAGAGCGTCCTCGCCAACACCGCTCGTCTCGAACGCGTCGACCACAGCTGGCCCATTGCCGTCCATTGCGACGCGTCAGCAATCTCTCTTGGCACCGTGCTTGTCCAGTCAGACCCCGACGGCAACAAACGCGTCATTGAGTACGCAAGTAGAATGCTGAAGGATGCCGAGACACACTACTCCAACACCGAACGTGAGTTGTTAGCTATAGTCTGGAGCGTGACGAAGAAATTCCGCCATCATCTCGTCCACCGTAAATTTTGTGTGTATACTGACCACAAAGCATTATTAGGGCGGCTCCAATCCGAAAGGTTAATCAGTTTACAGCCAAACTCGCGACATTTGATTTCCAACTAATCCATCGGGCCGGGAAGGCTCTCCAGGCTCCAGACGCCCTCAGCCGCATTTTGTTGAACAACGCCACAGCCCGCACGCAACCCCGAGAGGAAGACCGTATCCCCATCATCGATGCATACCACGCCAAATTGGGACACGCCGGGTGGAAGAAGGTATTAACCATGCTTTGCGATCGGTTCGAGTGGCCAAAAATGCGACAAGACGTATGGAAACGCATTTTAGCATGTGAGTTATGTTTTAAATATAATCAACCGACTCAGCTGATAGGCACTCACATGAGCGCCGTCGAATCAAACCGTCCGCAGGAACGTCTGGTCCTCAATTTCTATGGGCCCCTCCCAAAGACAAAAGAAGACTTCAGCTATGCCATAGTAGCTGTTGACCATTTTAGCAAATACATGGTCGCACAGCCAATCATCGCCGCCAACTCGCAAACCTTCATACCCTTTCTGGCAGAAGTTTTCTGCCAATATGGTCTTTTTGAAATAATTCATTCCGACTGCGACTCTGTGTTCACAGGTCATGCCTTCCGTCATTTCCTCAAGGGCTACGACATCCAACAACACGTCGCCCAAGCGATGCACCCAGAAGGGAACGGCTGTTGCGAGAGGTCGATCAAGACTCTGGCCCAGATTCAGGCCAAAGAGGTCCAGGGCGACGACATCACCTGGGCCACGCACCTGCAAACCTCGGTCAAGGCCTACAATAGCACCGTCCATTCAGCAACCGGCGTCACACCCACCGAGGCCATGTTTGGTCGACGCACCATACTCGACGCAGACCACACTTTCGGAGCAACCCTACCCAAAGAGGAAATCTCACTTGACGCCCTCCAACAGCGCTCCCAGTTACATCGCGACCAGTTCATAGCCCAAGCAAATAAGCACAAGCAACCCCACTTCCAACCAGGTGATTTCATAGCAATATTTCCGCGTTTACCCACAGTGGAGAAGCACGCAGCAAACCGCCGCTTCCGTCCTCAACACATTGGGCCATTCATGGTCATCTCATATCAGGGCGACGGCGAGTACTACGTCGGAGCCGGACCGAATGTCCAAAGAGCCAACGCATGGGAAATGGTCCCCTACCGGGGATTGCCGCGTCCACCCAACCACGGTTTTGAGAAGCAAATGGGCCTTATTCATGTCGGCTCCAACATCGACAGTATAGTGCCCCCGTCGGACCACGGCTACGCTAGCAGACCCACCGATGCCCCGTCAGAAGCACAGCGGATCACTGTGCTGGATCATGCGTATGGGCGACCCACCGCGTGGCTGCCCACCGACGCGAAAGTTCAGAAAGAACATGCCTACTCTCGAAGTCGCGCTTTTTCCAAACGAAAATCAAAACGTGCCAAAACCGCGACTTTTTGGGGGGGGGAGAGTGAGGCATCAACCTCACCCTCACACGCGACACCTAGCGGCAAACCATCGGGCCGTGCCCTTCTCCCACCCTTGTATTCCACGCGCGCCTTATCGCGATCGTGATCTTGGGGGAAGCATGGAACGAGGGATTCCGCGAGACGAGGTGGCGGCACTTCGCTCTTGACTCTTGACAGTGATGCATTGGTTTTATATCTGACCTATTTATTGTGGTGCTGTTCCTGTATAATACAAGACGTGTTTGTGAAGAAAATACGTGTGTCAAAGTCTCTGCCACCCGAAAACTCTTACTACGCAACTCATTTCCACGCTGCCCCTCCAGAGGGCTATTCCCTACCACTCCATCCCTCAACACCAAAAATGAGTGACTTCATGAACTGCGCATGCTTGCAGATACGAATTACATGTTGAAGAATTGTGTAGGAGTAGGAAGATAACGTAATATTCAATACAGTACTTTCCTGTTATCTCTGTACCTCATTCCTAGACTGCACTACCATCCAGACAAATCTTTAGGACAAGTTCATAATCACAAGAACCTACCAGAAACTGTGAATTTTATTTTCTGCATTCTGCTGAAACTGATCAGGTTATGTTATTTACAAATATATTTTAATTAACATAACCTGACCTAACCTAACTTTACCTAACTGCCTCCTAAATATCAAATATCTTTAATTAACATAACCTGACCTAACCTAACTTTACCTAACCGCCTCCCAAAATCAGTTTCAGCAGAATGCAGAAAAATAAAATTCACATCTGTTGTGTTTATGAATTTGTCCTAAAGATTTGTCTGGATGGTATAGTGTGGTCTAGAAATGAGGTACAGAGATAACAGGAAAGTACCATATATTTTATTTATTTTAAAAAGGTGTTTTTATATGTGCACTATGTTATTTGTCCCTTGGAGTCTCTGTTTACATTCTACACCACCAAGCATTGCAGTTGAAGTCACTCAATGAGAGGCTGGCGCTCTTAGGGGTGGCATGGAAGAGGTAGCGTTGAATGCAGCTGTGTTGAGTGGAAGTTGTACCATAATGTCGCGTCACAGTTGGAACTTGACCAATCCGCAGGGTCAAGGTCTGAACGAGAATAATGAAAGCCGTGTTCCCCGGTGTGGGCAGCACAGTTGCTGCTGCTTTAGATCTCAGTGAGGGAGTGCTGGTCTTGAGCCACTATAATTACGCCGATTGTTGTGTGGATGACATTGTTTCCACGAATGCGAGTTTGTGTGATTGAATTTGGGGATGCATATGCGAGACTTGCTCAGATTAAGTCGCTCATGTTTCGATGGTGATAACTTTTTCTCGCGACAGCGATGGAGAATCGTGAATCGCTCGGTGTCCTACCTCCTCCGAATGACTTCCAAGACGTATCCAATGCCTCGCAACCACGGAAGCGGAAATCCTATCGTCGGAAAACATCGTCAAATTCTCTGCGGCGTTCATTGAAGAATATCGATATTGATTTAACTGCCATGATCGTTCCCGCGCACGAAGGTGAAGATGACCGTATCGAGCAAGAGATTCGCCGTGATTTACCGGATATTATTCGTAAACATCTGCCAGCGGAAATGAAAGGCAGTGCTGAAGAAATTGCGACGAAGTTGTCATCACAAGGGCTATGCTGTGGTCTGCACCAACTTTATTTGGCGTAAGTCTTCTATTTAATTTGAATCTTTCAGAAATTCTTCATTGCAAATGCAATATAATGAAATGAGATTCTTCTTCAGTGACGTTGATGATCCGAACGAGGCTATGGAGGACTTTTTACAGTCGTGGAAGAACGTCGATAGTGTTAAGCGGGAAGTAAAAGAATGGAATGACCTGGTTTCACTCACAAACCGCGCCGCCTTGGAAAAAACAGGGTTCGTTCGCGAAGTTCGAATCAACTTACATAGTGAAATAGAGTTTAATGAAAATAAAACGTACCACATCCAGGTTGAACGGCATTCTTGGAAGTAAAATTACCTGCATCGATCGAGCTGCGAAGGCCAGCATTGAGAAAGCTGTTCAAGAACGAGTTGACGACTCAAACCTCATTCAGGGCTTGCGTGAAAATATGAAGCTCAGGTTGGAAATATTTCGGTCCACTGCAGTGTCTTCGGCAAGGATCGCAGCGGTTAAGCAAAAGGCGATGCACTCAGAACGGCTGCTTCAGTGCAGCCTGTAAAATCATACGTCATGATGTCTTATTTTTCTATGTTTGGTACGAGTCAGAGGTCATCATGCGTGTGAAATGGATTTTCGTAATGAACCTGCAACCACAGCACGAAGTGCAAGCGGTGTTCTGACCCGAACAGTGTCCTTCCCTAAATTTAAGGACACTTCGGCGCGTATCAATGATGTGCTCCTACTCTTTTCACCGTATTTACTCAAATTCGTGACCTCTAAATTATGAGGCGCAACCTCTCACTTTTAGAGAAGGTACAATTTTTCCTTGAAAATTTCCGGTATCCGAACTCTTGTTTTCTTCTTGAAAATCAAAGAAGCTTTTTATTCTGAGCGCTCTGCATTCAAATTGTAAATGTGTCGGAAATTTGTGTGATTACGGTGATGTAAAATGCAGAGAATGACCTCGATTTTGCGTACTCTTTTTTTTCGCCTCGGAAAAGTAATCACGGACTAATTTCATTTCTAATTAGTGACTCGCGCGGTGATCACTGCAACGTGTTACCAAAAATAAAAGTGAATGTGCAATTCGCTAGTGTTCCCCTCGCGGAAATTTTTTTTGTGAAGCTGACCCCTGATCAATCGGTTCAGCACCTGCATAAATGCATCACGGAATTTTCCGGTGAGTCAAATTCAGTAATTTGAAGTTTTCGTACAGAAACATTCGTGACCGACTATCCGACTTACTGAACTAGGATTCGGGAAAAAATATGAATGTGATGCCTTTTTTTTGTCATGTTTTTACAGCGGTGAAAGATGACAGAATCTAAGCCGATTGCAACTGAGAGCTTTGATCTATCTGATGAATCGCGTGATGTTCGTCCACCAGCACATTATCGGTACAAACTGCCTACGGAGGATGAAGAACGACTTGAACGGTTATTCCGTGAGTTAGACATATCCAACGATGGCAGGATCGATGTCAAAGACTTGACTCAGGGTTTGCAGAGAAAAGGCATCATATTGAGGCCCTCTGACGCAATGGTAAGCGTATTGTTATTTTATATCATTCTGCAAGTGGTGCGAGCTTTTCTTGGTTTTATTATACATCGAAATTTCGTTAAAAGGAAACGTATGGCGAATTTTTTCCAGGATTTTTTTCGTAGGCGCTGTATTGTAAAAATCTCCTTTTAAGAAACTTATTTTTGGCTGCACTATCGGTGTAGTGAATTTTTGGCCCTGCTTTTGTGGCCGAAAAATTGAACTGATGTAGCGTTCCAACTTCATCTAAGAAGCAAATCTTTCTGTAGAAAATTTAATGTCCAAGAAAACACACAGCGTGACGCATTTCTTGGAATTTCTTCAGCTTCATTTGAAAATGTTTGCTTTTCTTTCAAATTATTCAATATATTAGGAAGAACTTTCCTTGATTCCAAAGAACAAGCAAGTATGAATGAATAAAATAATTTGGAGTAATGAAGTATTTTTCAAAGTGTACTTTTCTTCATTTCACCAGTCGAAAAGTAGTTCCAGCATAAGAAAAGTACTGTAAATTCACAATTATTCCATTTTATCAAAGGGGCTTCGAAATTATGACAGGTCTTGAAGTATCTTTTGTGAAGGCACTTCCTGTATTTATTAACCATTTCCCGCTGTATTTCTGTCTAAAACATTTTGAAAACCTTGATTTTGGTATCATGCAATTTTCATCGTAATGTACTTTGTATAAGGTTTCGGGGGTTTGTTGTAACGAGATTATAATGTAAACGTAACTGACCTTCGATTTTTGCTGATCTCAAGTCCTGAAGTTCAAAAAAGAAAAGCACCTGGAAGAGAAACGCCCTGGAAAAAGGCGTTATTGCGAAAACCACCAAAAAACACAGAAAAATTACTTCGAGGGTTAACACAGTATTTCCATATGTTTTCAAACTTATTCTTCCATGTCTGAAATATGACATCGCTCCAGAATACATGAATTGATGCGATTTTCAGCATCCTGCTGAACTGCACGAAAGAAGACGAAAGGTATTTCAAGTTTCCAAGGAGGCAACGATTTAATAGCCTCAGGCACTGCTGGTTTATTTATGACCGGGGGCCTCTTTTTCTTTCATCAACTTGTCGAAACAATTAAGAAAGTGGTTCACTTTTCGGGTTTTAAGGGACATTCTGAAGAAGCCTTGTAAAATGCATGCTGAATTCTCAGATTTCTGAGCATTGAGGGTTGCGTTTCGAAGTGAGGTTGAACACTCGAGTACCGGGTTTTGAATAAAGTTTCCCTTTCGTGGTTGATCTGATTTAAATACGTTCTCCATAAGTGGGAGATACGAGCCCCAGTCACCTGGTTTCAGCTTTGTACTGTTAACTTGTAGGTGCTCCTTTTGGACTTCCGACTCTCGTTTGAAGGTCACTTCCGCATTGTTGATTAAAATGCTCAAAACGTAGTGTTTCTTTTTTTTGTTTCGAGATAGACAAACTAATTTGAAATGTGATTGGGGTACCGTTTTGAAGAAGTATTCAGTGCAGTTCTTCGAAGAATTTTTAAAATATTCTTTCCTGGGATAAAGACACATGACGAGCGCCGCGGGTGGAGAAGTAGAATATATTCAGTTTCTGTTGAAAAATGCAGGACATGGTGAAGCAGGGCGATTTGAATGCTTCCGGGGACATGGACTTTGCGGAATTCATCCACTATATGGTGGAGCACGAGAAGCGACTGCGGTTGGTCTTTTCAACTTTGGACGTGAACCAGGACGGTGAGGGTTCTTTTTTTTCGGGGGGGGGGGGATGCTCTTTTCAGCTGGTGAACGTTTAGAATGACTCATTGTTCTGTACTCATCTTTTGCGTGCCTTTTTTTACCAGATTCTAAACCCGTCTATGTCATCGAAATTTATTTGCCCTTTTTTTGATACGATAAAAGGTCAAATAAATTTCGATGACATAGACGGGTTTAGAATCTGGTAAAGTAATCACGGACTAATTTCATTTCTAATTAGTGACTCGCGCGGTGATCACTGCAACGTGTTACCAAAAATAAAAGTGTCCCCCCCCCCCCCCCCCCCTTATTTCGCAGTTATTTTCCAATGACGTCTGTTTCATCGGAAACAGAGAAAAACCTAGTCTGAGAGCAGAAATTCATTTTTAACGTCTGAATTTGGTAAAGTCATCAAGCGATTTAAGAAATTGAAAACAAAACAACGGGAAGAAAACGATTTGAAATAGTGCAAGGATTTAATTTCACAATCGCGTGCTAGTAAACCCAGAAAGGCTTAAATTCGTGTGCCGATGTTTTTTTTTTCAGGCAGACTTGACAAAGGCGAAATCATGGCATCTTTTAAGGATCTCGGCATTTCATTGACGGAAAACGAATGTGCAAACTTGCTCGGCAGGTTCGTAGAAACGATTTGTGAACTGAATCTCGAATAATCTGCAAGGGGATCAAATGGGCAAAAAATTTTCCATTCCATTTTTTCTTCTCTTATCTTTTCTAACGATTTCTGGGGAAACCCTTTTGTACTTGTTCATCTGTGTCGTCTTTGTTTTTGTGGTCACCAACTGACTTTACCTGGGTGGGTTCATTCATAAAACTGACGCCTCCCAAGAGGGTAACGGTGGAGACATTTTACAGTTTCGCGTCTTCCAGTGTTCGAAGAATTATTTGAATAAAATGAAATGTTTACTTTTCTGGCAGGATTGACAAGGACGGAAGTCTGGACATTTCTTTCGAAGAGTGGCGCGAATTTTTGTACTTCCATCCTAGCGGTGATTTAAAATCCATTCTTGCCTATTGGAAGCATCCACCTGTGAGTATATCCTATCATTAAATTCTGTTTTTCTTGTCGAATGGTTCATTTAATTTCTAGCGGTTTTTTTCATTCGATTAATTTATTTATTTGGTGAATTGAAAAATCGCATGGAAAACCCTTCTTCACATTTTTCTGTTCGTTAAATTTTTGTACATCGTTTTTGTGTGTTCTATAAATTTCTTTCGACAGTTTTTTTCTTAGCTCTGGGACAAATAATCTTATTTTCAATTTTCTTACGGCAATAGTGAATGTTTCTTTTCTTCGTTGCTCTCTGTGGATCAAGGAGAATGCATGTTATTATGATGACTTTTAAGCAGATTCTACCAGGAACTCCCGTCGTGGGTCATCGGAAACTATTCACGAGTCTTCAACCTCCCTGTTCTTCCCCCTCATCCCCGACAGGTTCTCGACATAGGTGAAGCAATTGATGTGCCGGAAGATTTTAGCGAGAGCGAGCTGAGAAGCGGGCTGTGGTGGCGGCATTTGGTGGCTGGCGCGATCGCGGGGGCGGTGTCGCGCACGTCGACGGCGCCGCTGGACCGCCTCAAGGTATTCCTCCAGGTGCACGGCCTGAAGCAGTTCGGCAACTTGAATGGCTGCCTCAATCACATGCTGTCCGAGGGCGGCATCGGCAGCCTCTGGCGTGGCAACGGCATCAACGTGCTCAAGATTGCCCCCGAGTCGGCGCTCAAGTTCATGGCCTACGAGCAGATGAAGCGGTTTATTCGCGGCGACGTGCCCAGAGAGATTATGGTGCGCGAACGATTCCTGGCGGGGTCCTTTGCAGGCGCCTTTTCCCAGTCTGTCATTTATCCCATGGAGGTGAATGAGTTTTTATTTTATTTTATTTGTCAACATCATTCACTTTATTTATTTTTTTTTTCATCGTCGTGCTATTATTGTCGTTTCATTTACAGCCTTTTCTTTTGTCGGTGTTCGAAATAGTTTTGTGTGTTCTGATCCTGTAGGTGCTCAAGACGAGATTGGCTCTTCGCAAAACGGGTGAATTCAAAGGAATTTTGGATGCGGCGAAGAAGATCTACGACGTGGAAGGATTTCGCGGATTTTATCGGGGATATGTTCCGAACCTCGTGGGCATCATTCCTTACGCAGGCATTGAACTGGCAGTTTACGAGGTTTGTCTTGAGACATTCGAGAGATACACAATTCAGGTACATTTTTTAATGTTATTTTTCTTTCTGTAGACGCTCAAACAACAATTCATATCGAAGCAGAATGGGGAGCCCAGTGTTTTCGTCGCTTTGTTTTGTGCGACAACCAGCAGCACGTGTGGGCAGATTTGTGCCTATCCATTGGCTTTGGTGCGAACAAAACTTCAAGCTCAAGGTGAAGAGTTTTTTCTCTTGATTTTTTTATTAGATTCATCAAAGCTTCGCGTGGATATTGAAGCACTGGAAGATTTCCCGCTTAAAATTTGTTTTTCCTTTTTTTTTTTCCCCAGTCGTTGAGCGAAGTCAGAGGTGTTCTAAGGGTAAGACGTGTCAAGTGGAAATATTAGGCATGCGTTGTTTACGTCGATGTCACATGTTTTGTTTCAAAAATGTATGTTATTTTTTTTAGATTGTAGCTTATGCTGTAAACGTGAAGTTTCCGTTTCGCAAATCGTCGTGTTGAAGTACCTTTCATCTTGGGTACTATGTTTTTCTAGTTTAAAAAAAATATTTACAGCATTTTAAAATTTATTCAGGGACGTTGTTTTTGCATTTGCAGTCATAGCTGATAGCTCAGCAAAATTGTTTTCGTTAGCTATACGAAGTGCAGAGCGGAGAAAAACGTGATGAGGTGTAAATGCAGGAGTTGAGTCGACTAAATTTGGAAAGCTATTAAATTGTCCCTCCTTCTACGTTGATCCCGCATGGTAGCACACCTAAAACGTTCGGCGGAGGCTACAATCTTTTTTCCTGTCTTGGGTGTCGAACACTGGTTTTTGATATGGTTTCAGATTTCTTCCCACTTCTGTCATGCTGCCCAACCTGCTTTTTACACCAATTTCATAATTTCTCCCGAAATTTTGTAAGTTTTATGAGTCGCAGAGGGCGTTAAATTAATTCTGTGTTTCTCTGATCTAAATTGCACTCCGTCATCGTGCGCTGTGAAAGGCGGCACAATCCGTGTTATAAAAGGTGTCTGGAGAGCCATTGATTGACATTTTATTGGTTTTCTGTACGCCGGTACAAACCGGTTCGCATTTTTCGTTTTGCTTGCTACATGAAGTGCCCTTGATGTAGGAACGCATTTGTCTTCTTTGAAGTTTATTTTTTTGCATGACGATGTGCGGTCGCTAATATTGAGGCGTAATCCTCTGCGTTTCTTTTTTTTTCTGTGCAGCTGTGCAAATCACCGTGCCTTCAGGACCCGGCGGAGCGGGCGCGTCGACGGCAGCAGCAGCAACGGCGACGGCGCATCCGTCGTCGGCGACGGAGATGATACGGAGCATCCTGCGGACCGAGGGCTGGACGGGACTCTATCGCGGACTCCTGCCCAACTTCATGAAGGTCATCCCCGCTGTGTCCATCAGCTATGTGGTTTACGAGAAGACCCGCGTGTCACTCGGCGTCACCATGACCTGATGACGCCATTTTATTTATTTATTTGATTATTTTTTTTTTTGCATTGGCTGTGACGGGAGGGGGGAGAGAAAGAGAGAGATGGATAGATAGAAAGCGACGGATTTTCTTTTACCTTCTTCTCTTTTGCATGCGGCTCTGCGTTGGTTGAAATTCGAATTTTTTTCCCATTTTCATCTCTCCTTCTCTGAGGAAAGGCTTGCATGACCTTTGAGATTTTTTCAGATCAGAGATATGGTGACAGAGAGAGAGATAGAGTTCTGTTTTACTCGCCCTTCTTCCGCAGGAGATTCGTTCAGAAATTCTGGATGTCCAATAGCGACGTCACTACGTTGTTTGTTGAGGTGTATGTCATCCTGCTTATATAGAAAGTGTGTAGATGTCATTGACAGTCCGAGTCATCCCAAGTTTCGTACAGTATTCTTTTGTCTCTACAGTTGTTGCTGCAGTAGCATCCAGAGGTTTTTTTTTTTTTACTGTTTTGTTGCACTGCTGCAAGCCCATTCTGGTAATGTTTCAAATTGGTGTATTTCAGCCTGTTGGGGTCTGCGGGATTACCTCCTAGAAAACAACCCGACGCAATCATTCATCAACTTCCTCAGTGGTCTGATATTCCCGAAAAAAAAAAATTACAAAAGAATCAGAGACCATTACGCCTCCAATTTTAGAACTGCTGCTTGGTGCCTTCTTGAATTGGGGTGAATATTATTGTCAGTGATTGTACCAAAAATGGAAACCTCCGATGAAAACCGGCTTACTGTGAATGCAGCTGTTCAATGATTTAAAAAGAACAATTTTGACTCCTCATCACACAAGCTTAATTGTGCGTGAGCTTCGATTTAGTTTCCGTCAGTTTTTCTGCGTGTGTTGAAGCTACGTTTGAAACTTGACAATGAATGAACTGGTCATTTGTGCGAGGACCGAATTACATCTTGGGAATCTACATTTTAATCTACTCTTAACGGTTAGGAAATGAAGTCCTCCTTCATTCGTGGTAAGATTAATTTTGCCCGTGTAATAATTTTTTTTTTCGAGTAGCAGGCACAGAAACGGAAGCATTTTAGTAGTAATTCTAATGCCCGAGGAGACATTTTCCTGCTACTCGGTGACGAAAACTGTATCAGCATCAGTTGATTCATGCGGTGCATATTGGATTATTTCCTTTCTTTTGATGGTGGTTCATGCAAGTCTCACTGTTCAATGTTAATGGAACATTTTCAAGAACTGTATGTGGGGTCTGAAGAGCGTAAATGGAAGAATGCCTGTTCTTTTTTCTTCTTCCGAAGTCAACCAGCCAGTCGTACTGCTTGCTGACGGCGTATTTCCGCTGACGGAACTTGCTACGTTTTTTTTTTTTTTTTTTTTTTTTTTTTTTTTTTTNTTTCTACTTGGTTTTGTTTTTTTTTTTTTTTTTTTTTTGGAATTTGTCAGCACAGGTTTCATCTCAAAAAACAAGTGCAATCGTGAGGAAACTCCTAAGAAGTTTTCAGGCGATGGAATGTTCGTGTTGCTTCGACAGCATTCCTCGGTTGCTGGTTATTATAGAGGTGGGGAAAAAGATTTGATTAGTCCATCTAGTCGAACTAGATTTTTTTTTTTAATCCTTCATCGGTTAGGATAAGAAGGCAATGAACCGGTCTTTCGTAGCGACTTTTTGCTGAATCGTCGGGGGGCCATTGTCAAGGTGCTCTTTTTATATAAATTTGCGACTGCATTTAGATGAGTAGCTCATGGAGCCGGTTCCCCGCTGGTGTGATGATGTGATTCGATCTTTTTTTTTTTGAGGGTGTTTTTTTCTTGTTCGTTCCGGATGAAATGCAATTCTGGTTCATTATAAAACTGCCGGAAGGCATTTTCTGAACCCGAAAAATGGAGGCTTTTGTTGGCTGAAACAGGTACAGTATATTTAAATTTGAGCCTTGATTTACCGTTCTTTTGCAGACTAGGACGTCTGAATTCTTGTTTGGGTTTCTTCTGCTGAAAGAAAGCTGTTGTTCCCGTGTCGTTTTTTTTCTCATTTTTGAAATTACAGTACTGTGATGTGTATAAAAGGGATTATCTTGGCGTAAAGTTCTTTTACTTTTACCCGCGAGCCCCTTTCAGAACAGCCTCGGTTGGTACATACTTTTTTTAACGAGTTAAATCATTGCGAGAAAAAGTTTATGCCTTTTTTGAAGAAAATTTATTTTCAAGCCAGTAAAAATGAGCTCTAAAAATATAGCAGCCCTCCCTTTCGTTGATCGTATTGTAAAAAAACCCAGAGCATTCATTCTCATTACTCCTGCGTCAAATGAATGCGCAAACAAAAATCAAAATTATGTTCTAGTGTCTGTCAGTTTTTGCACGGAGTATTCATTGCCAAGAATGTATGTCATTCACATATATAGGGATGCATGTGAATAGTGTTCATGGGAATATTCAACATTTCTATGAAGTTAATGGTTAATAATAATTATGAAGACTGGTCTAGAATGAAATCTACTGTGTGCATTCAGCATGAAAGAGAACATTTTAAGTTGGACATTAAAAAAAAAACTATCACTGGGGCATACTGTATGACCTTTGATGGAGAAAATGTGCGTTTCATTTACATTTGTCTGCGATTTGAGTGATTTCCTTAGAACCGTCCGTATACATGACACAGACACACATCACTCAACCTGAAACTACCGTGTTATTTTAAGCAATTGTATGTCAAAAAGGTTTCAGATTCGGAACCGTTTTTTACGACCTTGTGTTATTATGAAGCCCTCTTTGTGGGAAAGTGTAATGTCGTGGTCATATGCAGATTCTGACGCAGACGTAATGATTCAAGCCGTTCATTTTCCTAAAATCGTGTGGAACTCGTTCCATCACGCAGTGTAGGGGTAAGGATTTGAATGATGAGACGTGCGGAGTCTACGGAGTACAGAGTTACAGACTAACCCTTGTAGCCGATATTCTGTACTGTACACTGTGACTCTGTTCGGTGTTCTGTGTCACGCCTGGCAGGGCGGCCTCTCGTGTGCAACACCTTATTATGATGCTCGCAGTTGGTTTTTGCTGAACAAGTTCATGTTGAGAAATGTGGAAGGCGCGCGCTTTGCAGTAGACATCCGTGAATTATGCTTTCGATTGACATTCTGAAATTGTTCTGTGTAACTTTTTTTTTTTTTTTTCTGCAAAGAATGGATAGAGCGTACTGCAGATATAAATCCAATTTTCGAACGAAATGCCTGGAATTGGAGAGAGGGTATGGTGGTGACTCGAACGAGTGAAAAGCGATCGTGTTGAATTCGATTACAAATTATCCGGAATCGAAGGCAGTAGATCCTGAGAATTCTCATGGCTGGCCATACTGTGCTCCATTCAGAGTGAAGATGCGATTGTCGTCAGTGATCTTAGCTGAGAACTGGTTTCCGTCATCACAAGGGATCCAGTCTCAAAGCTCTTCGCTGAATTTCTTCGATAGCGACTAATGGTTAGTATGCCTTGAAGGGGCTTAAAAAAATCACAATTCCAGCTTTTTAAACGACTTTCAAATCAAGCTTCTTGTTCAAATGCAGGTGAAGATGGTTGGGGAAGAGTTGCCCCCAGATTTCGTCATCACAGTGAAGCAAGAGGTTAAAAATGAACCAGATTATCTCGTGTCGTGGGACACTCCATCTGATGGCTACTCCGACGACGTCGATCCTGCTCCAGGACCCGAATATCTGGAAAGCTCCAAAGGATCCCGGTCATACCCCAAAGTTTCGTTCGACGACCTAGTCGCCCAGTTTGTCGGTTGTAGGAATTTCGGTTGCCTTCTCGACCGTCTTGACGTGTCGAAAAATAAAGAATACGCATCTGCGATCGCTGTCGATTTGCCGACCAAGCTTCCTAACGTCGGCCGACGGACAAAGAAGGAAAGGAGTGAGTTTGCTGGCGTTCTTGATGATCTTCATCAGGATGCGAATCATATCAATTCTATCCTCGAAGATTTGATTTCGAATCCACCGGAATTAACCGAAGATCTTCGAAAGGATCCGGAAGAAACGGAAATTTCCACGTCATGTGAACCGCTCATTCCTAAGGTTAGTTCTCGGAGATGCGAGATTTCCGTTCGGGACATGTTTTCTGGGTGAAAAGCTTATGCAAAAGCTTGAAATGTATTCTAATCATGTTGGAAATTTCCGATTATATTGCTCATTCACGTTTCTGAGCTGTATCTGGTGTCCGAGAAGTGAGCATTGTTTTGAATAAATTATAAATTATCACGGTTTCTCTATATAGTGATAATAGATCTATAGAATATTCTACATATGGCTGCAATATCAGCGAGGGACTTTCTTGGTTTGGTTCATGACGGATAGATTTTATAATGGATGTATTTTCTACAATAGCAATCTTCAGCGCACGTATGATCGTTCTGTATACCATATCTGTACGTTAGCAGGTGACCCCAGAATTGGAGGAGGAGACGCCGTCCGTAAAGCCAAAATTTAGACTCCTGCCAAAATCCGTCAGATTGGCGAAGGAGCAGGAGTGGCAGAGAAATGCACAGAGCGAAAGGAATCCCGAAAATTTGGAAGAGCCTTCGACGAACGGTCACCCAAAGTGAGTATTTTTTCTCCCTTTCTTTCTGCGATGTTGATGAAGAATGTCTCATGCAAATGTGAGATGGTGAAATTATTTATCTCTCCGACTGCGATGGAAATGCTGGAATCTGGGATTATGCAGTCGCGCAGCATTTCGATAATTTTATTTTTCCCTCACTTCGAGTGCAACAGCCGAAGCCTGAGACTTTCGAAAATAATTCGAGGTTTTTCATAATTGATGTGGAATGGGACTAGTTTATCTGAGACTGAGTAATGATGGAATATTACCCGTGAAAGTTGCGAAGGTCGTTAAGAATCCACGAGATTATATGTCAGGAAAGATGAATGGGCAAATTTTCCAAATTGTTTCTCCTAACACTCGCTAAATTTGAAAATCGGATTTTTTTCTGTGGTGCATTTTCTTTGAATTCACGCCGGGGGAAATTCGTCCTCTATTGAAAACATCCTGCGGTTTCCTGATTGTGGAATCGCGACATTGTCAATTTTTTTTTTTGGGAAATCCTTCGCTTTGCAGATCAGCATTTTTAAAAGTTTGTTCGAAGCAGTTTTTCCCACGTACGTTGATTACGAAAATTCGTTGAAAAATCTTGTTGAGAATGGATGAAGTCCTTTTTTTGCCTTTGTTCGCAATAACGCGCTGGCTTAAAGCGTGACGGACGAAGTAGCGAGATGTACTACAGTATCAGTACTGTATAACTATATCACTTGGAGTAGCTCCCCTTTTGCAGCTAAACTAGTGAAGTTATTAGCTGCGAGCATTCTTCGCACAGTCCCACGGTACTGTATACAGTACAGCTGTACAGTAATTGACAAGCGTCTTTTTCGCTAGCGACCCAACGAGTTGGTCATCAACGAACGTACACTATCCCTTCGGTCTGAAGGCAGGCGCCAAGTAGTCGACGTTCTTCAAGTAGATGTTACTAAAGGATCCCTACGTTTCTGAGCAATGTTCTAGCGACATCTTTTAACGGGTTTTTCGATTTTGACCTCAAGCTTTTCATGTTGTTCGTCGAGGGCGGATGCCTACAAAGTCGATGGTAGATAGAGAGATACGTATTATTATTATCCTGTACATTTCTATAGTACAATATAATAGATGTCGCAGGTACATAAATTACCCTGGTTATCCTCGAAGTGCATTCACTGTGCGTACTGTAATGTATTGTGTACACTTAATTTTGTTCGAAATTCTATTCTTTGTTCACCTGCTCTTCTGAGCTAAACGTTCCGAAACCTTCGCTTCTTTCGTCATGGCAAGTTTCTTTTTTTTCTCTCTCTCGATCTTTTAGCAGTACTGTACTCAGTGTATTGCACTCACGAGTATGACGCATCCGATGCGAAATCCGTGGAAAAACGCCGAGAGAAGAAAATCGTCGCATTTCTTGTATGGAGGGTACGAGGCATTAATACGTCCTATTATTATTATTGTTTTTTTTTTTTTCAAGTTTTCGTGGGAATGTTGAGGTTTGGGTTCCGGAGGCGCTCGTGGGAAATCTGGGTCTGGTTCTGTTTATTCCGCCCCTCCTCCTTCCTATTCCACTTGCGGCTTCCGGTCCGCGTTGGAACACGCGTACGGATGTCCGTTTCGTGTTTGAAATCTTTCAGGGAAACGTACGCTGGAGGGCGTTGAAAAGTGCTGAGAGAAGTTGCAGCTATTGTACTGTAAAGGTTTTTTCTTTTTCAAAATCGGGCGTGAGGCAATTTTGAAAAAAAAAAAAAAAAATGAAACGCCGATGATTATGATTTTGTTGGAACGTTCTCCAGGGAACCCGGTAGACAGGCTTGTGCAGCCAGTCAGATTGGACTCCCTCAAGAACATGGGAGAAATTGTGGAGGAGGACTGAAGCATTGTAAAAGTCGAGTCCTATGCAGTCATGATGACTATTAAAAGTTACAGTATCATAGGGTGGATTTATCCTCTTCTTGAAGCAACGAGGATGGTCTTTTTTTATTTTATTTTATTTTTTACAAAGTGCGAAAACTAAAGTTTAGCAGACTGTACACAGTACGTGAATTTCAAGTACAGTCAAATCTTCAAGGGACCAGCAAAAAAAAAAAATGGAGTGGGGGGAAACAAGCATTTTTGTTGGATGAAGGAAGAAAAGAATTACGGGAAATTGCAACTGGTATCATTCTGAGCGTTTAATTTGCTTCCTAATTGAGTTTTACAGAATACTGAATTTGGAGCCATGGTTTTTTTTTTTGTTGTTGTTGTCCCAACAACACAGTCTTTCTCTTTCTTTTTAAAATGCATCGTTAAAGTTAAATTTTCATTGCTTTTCTCTTTCCAGTGCCGAGAAACTTGATAGGAAGCCTCTGTAGAAAATGTGAGTCATGGAGGTTTGACTGGAGAAAGCCTAAAGAGTTGGCCAGGGTTTTTTTAATGCATTGTTTCTGAGGGAATCCTGGCAGTGACTTTGAAGAAGGGATCATGCCATAGTCGTATGATTCCTTCGGCTGATGTTTAGACGCACGTTGACGAGGAAGGCAAAAAATATAAAAATGAATAAATATAGAAAGAAAGATAGAAAGTAGCAAATAAACACGGAAGGCAGTTTTGGAAAATTCCAGTGTAATTAATTTTTGTCTCGGAAGACATTGTCCGTATCATCATCATCATCAATCGTATGTATGCTTTTGAGTATGCTGTTCAGCACAGTATTGTATGATGTGACACATTGTACCTTGTTATCGGCTTGAACATGTTCGGTGATGGGTGCTGGATATGCTAGCTTCCTCCCTTCCTTCCTTCCTTTCCTATCGGAGGAAATGGGGTGGAAAAGGGGGATGAAGCAATACTGTAATGGCTTGTAAAGAGGGGGGGAGGAATGAAGGAAGGAAGGAACATGCGAGATAAGCAGCAGGCGTCGGTCGGTTTGGTCGCAACTGTCGCTTTGGTTGGGATCGGCCGCAGCTGTGTCCTGTGTCGTCCACCACCACCACCACCATTGGCACCACTTTAGCCGTGTGCCACTCACTCACTTGAATCATTGCGTTCGTCATTTCCTTTCTCCCAAGTTTCATGACGTTGTTGAAGCCCCGAAGAATCGGGAAAGGGATAACCCTACGAGTCGAGTGTGTGGGTGTGTGTGACAGACAATGAACATCTCCACTGAAATGACGATGATGATGATGATGATGATGATGATTGAGAAACCACGGGAAAATCCGATACTGAAGTAGAATCATCGAGAATTGACTCCTGCAACTCGGTGCTAGTTTCATGCTCACACCCTAGTGATGATGAACCCATGTACATTTCCTGAGACTAATACCTGTACTAATGCATTATTTGCTTGTTTGTTTGTGTCAAATCAGTCGTTTCCAAGTCTCGTGATGAGGTTGCACATTTCCGGCGCGGTGCTAACAACGACACTGGCTTTTTCGCACTTGGGTTCCGCCGTTTATCTTTCCTATGCACTACTTTACTGTAGTCTACTGTACTGTTAAGTCGCATGCGCGATGATGGAAAAAAAGTTCACATAGATTTGGAACCCGGCACAGTATTTTCAGATATTATTTACTCTGTTCAAAAAAAAATAGAAAGAAATAACTGATGGTGAAGAGGAGGGGGGCAAGGGGGGGGGGGGGGGTTTCTGCTGTGTTCATCACGTCCAGCACCAGCATTCATCTTTCAGCCTCTTCTCACAACAATCAAATCGAGAGCTGGGCCAATAACACAATACAATACTGTACAACCGAGATCCAACAAATGCCAGGTGTAAAGAAGACAAACCTAAAGTTTTTCCCTTGAAGGAAGAGCGTGTTACAGTGCGTTGTAGTACAGTACTTTAGTACAACAAGCACATGAACAAAAAAAAAAACAAAAAACAAATTGAGCATTGCGAGATGAATTTGGTGAAATTCCTTACATTTGTGTTTTCTTTTTTCGTCCCTGTTTTGTTTCATAAAGTTGCGACTCTGGAGTTGGCGAAATTAATTACGATAGTCTTCAATTTATCAATTGTACGAATTCTTACACCCGAGTGAAACCCACTCGGCAGTTTCGGCAAACTCTGCTTGAATAACCCGCCTCACTCATACTTGACTCGAGTCCTGATTAACTTGGCCAAACTACCGTACAGTACGTGACTTTATTGTCTTACCTAACGAATGAAATGTCCAGGTAAAGTAGAGTACGATACTGTGCTGCACTGTAGCATGCACTTCGAGTACAAAAGTCCTCGTGTAACCCGACTTCGTGGGTTGATTTAGTGACGTACGGTAGTCTCTCTTAACCGTGTAATGCCCAAGTTGTACAGGAATTGGTTTTTGAAAGGCCCATGCAGTACAGTACTGTACTGTAATGCCTTTCGTATAGAGTGCTTGATTATAGCCCAGGTAACGTGAACCGACATGATACTGTATTGTATACCCAAGTCTAACCATTTTCCCCACTTGTTTTAATAACACTGCTATGCGTGAGTTGGCATTCATTTGTGCCACGTGACTTGCGAAACTGCCGTGGCGAAATTTTTTTTTTTTTTTCTGTGGGGCAATTTTGAGAAGAATAGCCAAGACCAGTTGGTGTCACTCACTAAACTGTTCGTGGAAATCTCGGTTCATCGTTGAGCCCATTTGTACTACTGTACCGTATACAGTAGCTCTCTCGGCGTTTGTTGGATCTCGGTTGTACAGTATTGTATTGTGTTATTGGCCCAGCTCTCGATTTGATTGTTGTGAGAAGAGGCTGAAAGATGAATGCTGGTGCTGGACGTGATGAGGTTTCTCTCGCACACGCGGGGGGGAAGAAAAGTGGACGGATGAGGAGGAGGAGGAGGAAGAAGAAGAACAATACTGTACAAAGATAAAGATATAGATATAGATAGATAGATAGATAGATAGATAGAGAGACATTCAGACAGACAGATGGACACAGGCATAAAGTGACTCGTGTGTGTGTGTGTGTGTGTTGCGGTTGGTCCTTGTGAGGCCACCTGGCGAATGTCAGGCAGGCCCAGAAAGTGGCCGCGGTCGGTTTGCAATTAAAGTGTCCGCCGGGTTCCGGTCCCTCGATCGCCGGATGTCGCCTCTTTCCCTTCCAATCTATGTGGCTTGTCTTGTCTTTTTTCTTTTCTTTTCTTTTGTTGTTTTGTATTCTCTCGTCTCTCCTCTCCTCTTTATCTGATCCCATCTTTCTTTTTATGCTTGGTTCTCTGGTGTTTCTTCTTCCCTTTACTACTACTCGTCGTCATTGCCCCGCACATCCTTGCCGATCATTATTATCTTGGCTATTATTAATTTCATTTTTTTTATTTACTACTGTATCTCATTTCCGTCGTCGACCCGGGGGGGTTGGCTTGAGGGAGGGGTGAGGTTTTATTTCTGTCTGCCCACGTTGTGTTCAGCAACGGTTAGGTAGGTTGGTTGGTACGATGGTTGACCACCACCACCACCATCATCCTCCTCCTCCTCCTCCTCCTTCTTCTTGTCATTTGAGTGTGAGGATCGGTGGAGAGCCCGTTTCAAAAGAGCGCGATTGAAATTGAAGTTTGCGTATAGGAAACGGAACAGGATGATGCGAATACTGTGCAGTACAGTACACAATGAAAAGAGACGTCAATTGACGAACGAACGAACGATGCTGTGGAACAATTACTTATTGTGCTGTACTACACGGTACTGTACCATCATCATCATGACGTCCGTATTTAGGGCAGGATCCAGATTTCAAGTTTCTCATTTTGGCCAAACACACACGAAAAAAAAAAGAAAAAAGTGAAAGCACATTTAGGGTGCTTATCGGGGCCTTCGGGAGAAATTCGGGTTATGCAGGACAATTCAGGGGGACTAGAAGAAGAAAATTCGATGCAGAAATCCGGCATAATATGGATAGGAACACCTAATGCTATGAAACTGGAAAAAAAAATTTCTTGTCCTGTACAGGGAAACAAAGTTTGTAGAGGAAATATTGCGAGGGTGTAAACCGTATTCACCTGATTTTTGCAGTGTTCCCTGCCCCCCTCAGAAAAGAAAGAACCCTCGTCTCGGATCTATCATTCGATCACTTCGTGAGTCTTTGAGGAAGAAAATGGGACTGTGCCTTATTGTGACACGGACCAAACCCTGGGTATTATCCAAGTACTGTACAGTGTACTGTACAGTACTGTATTGTATATCATCCCCGAGGCATGATTCAGTTGTGAACTGCCGACGAGCATCGCATTCACGGGATGCCCCGTTGAAATACAGTACAGTACGGTACCGTATTGCCGCTACAGTAAAAGTGCTGGAGGAGGCTGCGATCCTCTGGACATTTTGAGGCTTTTCTCGTTGTTTTGGTTGGGCGAGGATCCCTTACTTATTGGGCCTTGGGTCAAAATTCAAAATAGTGGGGAATTGTTTCGTCTTCCTTTTTTCATCCTCGTCGTGGTACTGGGTAGGTAAAGGTAATTGTGTGGTGGTCAAACCATGCAGCGTTGCATGAGGGGGGGTCATCCTTGAGCAGTCAGAGCACGGGTTACAAAAAAAAAAAAAGTTGTTGAAGAGTTACGACGGGATCTGACGATCGAGAGAATTCAGCTGTCCTGTAGTGAGGAAAGGTGGATTTGAGTTTTGCAAGATGTGGAATGTTTTCTGGAAGGCCCTCTTCGTTTGTTTTTTTATTTATTCATTTATGTATTTACAATGATGGGGCTTGCTTTGGATGACTTGTGGACCAGGCTTTTTTTTGGCTGATGCCAAATAATTCCGATGGAAGGTTCACGAAAAAGGAGGGAGGGGGGAGGGCAGAAGGTACAGCATGAGCAAGTCTTGGGTATTATTGTGCAGAAGAAAATGACCAGCAGGCTTGTTCTCCTCCGGAAGAGGAGGAGGAGGAGCAGCAGGTGGGAGTTGGCCGAGT